GGCTGATGATTACCCAACGTCATCGATGATCTACCATAGGAAGTAGGCCTAGCTACCAATTGTTTCTTCAAACCAAATTCGAGTACGACATCGTCAACAAATCTCGCATCTCCGCTGGAAGGACAGTTTGTAAATTGTACTATTGAATATGAGCGGCAGTCTTTCGCTATAGAAATAGACTAACCACTTTACTTATAATATTGCTGTGTGCTGAAAGTGTTAGTGTCATATGCAATGTAACAAGCGGCAGTCTTTCGCTATAGAAATAGACTTCAGTTTTCGACTGTAAATCGTTTTATATATTTTACGCGAGATAGATTTTAGCTCGTTTGAATAAACGCCTTTAAAAAAGTAAACATATTGTTTCCAGTGTTTGATGTTTGATACGTCATATGATCATTTGACAATAATGATCAACATTATTGTGATGTCTTTTGTTAACAGATGAAAGAGTAGTGGCCGAACCTTGAGAATATGGATAATTGTGCTAAAAAGTGGACTTCATGCCAGCTCCTGTCATTTTGTGTCTACTTTGCAGACCAGCATGTTCTTTCAAAGTTAAATGATCAAGGGCTGGCAGATATTATGAGGAATACTGTGTTGAAAGTGCTTAATTTAGGTAGTAGATTTGTAAATGATAACAAAAAATCAATCATGCAATGTAATCAATGCTTTCTTTTTTATTAAGCTTCATGCAGAATGGAAAGGCGACTGGGTACGTGCAGTAACATTATAGTACAAGTACCATGGCAACCTACGTACAGGAGAACAATGGTAACGAAAGGTGTGGGAGAACCATGGTACCGAAAACCATGGTCATAGTACCAAGAACCATGGTACCGAAAACCATGGTCATAGTACCAAGAACCATGGTACCGAAAACCATGGTCATAGTACCAAGAACCATGGTACCGAAAACCATGGTCATAGTACCAAGAACCATGGTAACCATAGTACCGAGAACCATGGTACCGAAAACCATGGTACCGAGAACCATGGTAACCATGGTACCGAGAACCATGGTAACCATGGTACCGAACACCATGTTAACACTGAACCATGGTTATCATACTTCGGTGTTACCATGGTTTTCAGTACCATGGTTACCATGGTTCTTTGTCCAAATTACCATCCACCATGAGAACCATGGTAACCATGGTACTGAAACCATGGTTTTTACATGGTACATTTTTGTAAGGGTGTTTATGTAAAAATTATGATTTATGTTTCTCAACATAACTGTTTGTAATAGGTCAATTTGATTCAAATCCGTTAATTCGGCTGACAGACACGGGTTCAGTTACTAAATCACATCTTTTATTTTATAATTTTTAAACTTTGGTAATCATTTCCCTTTTGTGGCAGAAATCTATGTTATTCCCATTAGTCTAGAGTTCATCAGAAGGAAACAAAAGTATGATATTGATAACATTGTTGGTGATAGTATTTTTATTTTTCATGATCGAAAACGACATAGGTGTGCATAAGGTAGCTGCTCAGGCACTTTAATAGACGCTTGTTCCAAACATAATACATGTACATGTATATCTGTTAACAGTTTCAGATCAGAGACTGTGCCTCACAGACTAGTTATTTCAAGGCGTGTTTCATTCCCTTGCCCATGTTACCGGAAGGACTCTGTTTCAAACGTTTCGCGGGGTTTTATCAGACTTGGCGCGCCGTATCTTCCCAACATTGTGCTTTAATTTAGCCCATAATATTGCCAAAAGGAAATAATCATGTGGAATATGACTACCGATTTCAATGACTGGCTTATTAGTCCTTTATGTTGGATGCATATTTGGTGCTACAGTATTCCTGGTATCCATTCCTGAAATGATATTAAATGGTGGATTGATGCTGAGAAACATGAGATGAACCACGTACATCATCACTCGAGTGTCATCAGCTGTGCAGGTAAAAAAGTTCTCCCTTTCCATAGACACAGAATATATTGCGATAGTCTCAAGCAAAGTATTTATCGCCAATGCTGTTTTGTATATATACACCCCTGCATCAACCAGACTAGGAGACAATATGTATTTGTGTATATGTCATTAGATATATGTCTCTTTCACCAGATCACTGTACTCATAATAATACCATTCGTGTTATTATCTCTTTGAAGTGACGTTGTTGCGTTATGTTACTCTAACTGTAATAGTATATTTTGAGTGGTTGCCAACTGGCCGTCTAGCCAATTCTATTTTGCAATATAATCAGATTATCCTTTGGTGAGCCTTTTTCATGGCAATCACTGCAAAAATAAATTTCTCGAGCATGGTCTGCAATAATGGAATTACAAACATGTTTATGCTGTGAATTGTGGAACACACGAGGGTTACATTTTCACTCATTCGTATATATTGCAGTTGGAAGGGCGATCGACTATTATCATAAGTCAAAACTTAGTATTCCCGAAATGCTTCAAGTTTAAAGGTACTATGTCCCTTTTGCAGCCAACCTCAAATGCTGCATGTGGAACTTTGCGGGAATTATGAATATGTCATGTATGTCCTATCTGTGAAATTTGAACGTTAGCAGTGTCCTCATATTCAAATTATGCAAGGAAATCCGTTTACTTGCTAGACTTCACTGTCAGACACTATTGAGTGACTGACTGGCTTTTTGTCTTCTTTGGTAATAACATGAAAAGTTAAGTGAATTCCGCTTTATATTGTTGAATTTATTTCAATCACAAACTGTACCTTTATTCCAGAATTTGATAAAAAAATAACAAATTTGATTTAACTTAGAATAACTGGTATTACGAAAATGCCAAAAATAGTAAATAGGAGATGGGAGAACCAGGTTTTTATTTTGAGTGATTAATTTGTTTCTTCAATTGTTTTGTTGTTGTTGAAAGTACCGTTATAAGGAAATTTAACCAACGTAACTTGTTGTTCTTCGATGGATTTTTTGGCACCATATTTAATAAGACCATTCCCACTTATACAAAGTATAGGGGATGGGAAAAGGAGGAATCATGTCTTTATTTAACTTGAATACTGGATTTATTTTCCATTTTTTCCATTCTATTTTTTAGTAAATATTTAACGAAATTGTATCGGTGCGATCGTTCTTCTTTCTTGGAATGTCTGAAACATTATTTCATAGGAAGGTTCATTTCAATTGTGGTAAACAAACTTATTGCTTTGTATTCATTTCAGTGTCAGTTTAGTAGATGTATCATCGGGCCGAGAAGGCAGGTATTATATATTCTATTCTATATAATTATTATATCTAGATCTCCAAAATAAACATACACAATCAATTAACAACTATACCGGTGTAATTTTTTTTGGAATGACAGAAAATTTACTGGAAAATAACCGAGGGATAAGAAATGAGATGTGTCAGTCACAGACCATAAACGTACCACCAACGTTGGTGGTACGTCTATGGTCAGACACGGATAGAAAAGTTCAAATTTACAACCACACGCACTGCATAATCACATTTTACACATACACATTAGCGACGTACTTCAGCAAACAATACTCGACAAAATGTTTTCCCGTTATTTCACTTTTTGTGTGACCATTAATGGATTTCTTTCTTTTTACTGCCTTCATCTTCTATTTCTCCATATGTATATATTTGCTTTTCTGTTTCTTTCTTTCCTTATATATTTTCAATGTTTTTCTTATTTCTCTACCTCTCTTTCCATAATTGTATTATTTCTTTGTTTCGTCCGTTCTTTCTCTATATGTCTTTTCTGATGTATTTCTGAGTTTTCTCTTCTTTCATCTACTCTCTTTCCTAATATATTTCTTTCTTTCTCTTTCTATTCTTTCTGTTGTATTGCCTTGTCATTTGATTCATCTTCTTTTTCTATATTTCCTTATGCATTTATTACATTTTCTTTTCTTTTGAGCTTCTCGTTTATTATTTTCGGTTTGTAAATAATGAGCATGCGATATACGCTGTTGTTCATAAAGTCTTTGATAACACTTATTATTTTCTCAACACTTTGATGATCAATTTCCTCATAATGACAATCAAACCACAATAATCTTTACAAACTTGTTTTTCTTCTTCAATTTCTTCAACCTTGGTCAGTGTAACGAAATTATTCCAACGTTATGGTATTAGTGTATGACTGAAAATACTTTATAACATTTGAAATGAATGCATTCGTATAATTACTGTAAGGTGGTTGGCTTGTTTTATTCTGTACAACCAGGGCAAAGTCTCACCTCCCTGGTACAACGCAAGTAAATGACAATGTTTGGTAAGGTTGTACTCATTTTCCTTAGGTCATAGTAATCGACGTCTTGACATGAGACTATCTTCCCCATGCAGAAAACTGACTTGACGTTGGTCGATTCCTTTCGTTCGAAGTTTGTTTTCACCTTAAATTTTCCATTTTAATCATATTTCAAGCAAGATTAGCAATTTCTTTTACAGAAGTCATACAAACAATCATAATTTGGTAATATTCACCTCTCAGCCAGCGCGTGACCTTGTCTGTCCATTAGAAGGAATTCGTGGTTTCGAGGCATAGTTGTTTGCCCAGACCCTTAATAGAAACATCACATAGATGCATGCACTACAATATTTATAAACAACCTTAATATGGAAGCAAGCTTAATTAATATCTTTTATTAGTACTTAGTACATTTGATATTGATGATTTCGAGTTTTTGGTATAACTATTCGTTAGAAAGAGAGAAAGGAAAATCAATATATAGTGCAACGGGTATGAAAACATAATCTAGTCAGTGGTCGGGTCTTCTAAACCACTGCATTCCACCGAGAGTAAAAATTAAGATAGTTTCTCGTCGTGTTGCCTCGAATTATGACCGTAATAAAACTGTCAGACTAAAATAAGACACACGACCTTCGTCATAGGCCCATGTAGTGTACGAACAGTCGAACATTACTCTTAAAATTATCTTCTGTAAAAAATGCCATAAGATAAGAATAAGTCAGTTTGTCCGCGACAAAATGTAGACTGTTTCAAGAAAATTTCGCTGGAATTGAAGACATTGGCAAGATCATTTTAAGTCATTTTGGCCGGCCAGTTCATAGTGGAGGCTGGCGGCTGCTTTGAGGGTTCGGCGGGTGGCGGTGGTTGATGTACGGGTGTCTGTCGGGGTGGTGAGGGCGGTGCTGGAGAAAGAAAGATAACAAACAGTCCTTTTCAGGACTACACTCCTCCAAGAAAGATTACCGAGTCAGAGTCCTTTTTCAGGACTCCTCAAACCTCTCTCTCTCTCTCACACACATGGTGCAACCGCAAACCTACTGTATATCTACATCAACATGCAAGCCACTTACAAGCAGCACCAAACATGATATTGTTTTGAAAACAGTCTGAAAACATTGGAGGTAGAATGAATAAGAGAAAATGTGGTCATGTAAACAAGTGCATTATGTCCATGTTAATCCCCTAGTTCCAAAATCATGATTGTATTCTCTATTTATTTCTCCTATATAATTTATTTCAATTTAAAATAGAAATTCTAATGTTCCTTCGTTTGGCTTGATAATATTTCAGCTACGAATTGACAGTTTTGGTAGACATCTTGTATGTATTATAGCAATACATTATTGGCAAATGACGTATTGTTTATACGATAATAATGATAAGAAGAAGAAGCATCCAAATAACTAGAATAATAACAATAACACATAATTACTATAATAATGATTATAATTACGATAATTACTATAATAATAAATATAACAATGATAATAATAATGATTATTATGATACTGCTGCTATTACTACTACTACAACTACAACTACTATGAAGAAGTAAATGAAGAAGAAGGGGTAGGAGAAGAATCATTTCAACGATATTAGTGAGTATATTCTCAATGATGAGGCATACACGTGCATACACATTACATATTCCGTGGTAAGAATGAAGTAAGCGAGGGAAAATTAAGGCAATGACAAACGAGAGCGAGAGAGAGAGAGAGAGACAGAATATGGCCGGGTTCAAATTAAGTTTTCTTTAAATTAGACCCAATACTGAGGATCTTTTTATGTGCCATGTTTTTGTTATTTGACGGCTTTTGACGCTACATACAAGAGCCGTCTTTTGTCACCAAATAAAATACAATTTGGCGATGCTATGTTGCAAAATGCCTGTACGCGCGGGTACGCGCGGAAATGCGCACACATTAGTGCTCCCGCGCAAATTTTGGAAATCCTTAAAATGGCCTGAAACGTGTGGATTGTATTGACAATTTTGTTGACCTTTGACCTGACATTAATGTATACTAAATATAGTTGATTTTTGATAACTCCTTATTGAGATATGATAATGACCTGATTTTTACAAAATGGCGCCTGGATGACGTCACAATGACCCCATGACCTTAAAAAAGGTTTCGAGAACTTAAAATTATAGGGCCTGATAACTGACAGAAATTTGAAGGAAATCGACCAAGTCGATTTCGAGTAAACGTGTACACACAAAACTGTACGGAAGAAATAAAAATAAAGAAATAATAAATAAATAAAGAATAAAAAAATTCTGAGGAAATCAATAGGTGATCTGTCGTTGACATACCACCTATTAAGACAAATCTTAAATAAATAAATAGGTCATACGTTGATTTCGTACGTTTCACCTAATTATAGGGCCTAAGGTAAATTGTAAGATAGAAAGAAGGGTATAAAAGAGAAACAGTTCCGAGTCTAAAAGAATGGGCAAGAGGGGGGGGGGGTGTAGATACCTTTTTTGTTTACCTCGGAAACGGAGTTCTGTTGGTGGTTTGATTGCAAGGAGTTGATCTTGTGAGGCAGGTGCAGGAGTTTGGTTGGATGGCCATTCAAAAACACACTTTAGTTTGGTGTCCATTATAGCAGCAATATCTGATGCTTTCCACTACAAATGAAATTTTTCACGAACAATTAAACAAAAATAATTTTTTAAATTTCAGTGGAAAAACATGAGAGTAGCTTGGAAAACAATGAGAGTAGCTTGCAAATAAATCTTATATTTGCCAATTTTGAGACTGCAAAAATATTTATGTGACTTTCTTATTCATCAGAATTATAATGTATCATAATTTGTTTCATACTTTTACTGTATGCTTTCCTTCTTTTTTTCTGCTGGTTAGGGGGAGAACTTCCCATAATAAAAAAAAAATGCTTGAGTACAGCATAATGTTATTAATGAACACGTACATTAATAGATTGAAATGAAATCAAAATAACTTAGGATTAAGACATTTGCCGGAAAAAAAAACTTCATAGTTTACTGGACAAATATATGATAATCCACTTTATTTGACAGAAATACTGACAGAACACTGGGGGCAGCATCACAACAAACAAAAAAGGTGTGTAGATAATACCAAGATCTACCTCCATACAAAATTTGAATGAAATCCGTCAAGGAATGTGACAGTTATGAGGACACAAGAATATGACGCGGCGGACGCTGCTGAATCCAAAGTATCGTCCAGCATACTGCCAGGGGATACATTGCACATTAGCAACCCTTGAATGATCCCTAAAGTGAAAAGATGAGCTAATACATACCACTGCTTCCAAGTCAATATCTGCCTTTGGTATGACGATTGATTGTACCATAAATTTGTGATTGTACTTCTCATTTGGATCAAAGTCAAAGGGTTGTAGCATTACTACAGCAGAAAAAGAAGAGAAGGAAAAGGGAAGAAAGAACATTAATAGTAAGTTCTGTATGCATGTTCTTTAGTATACTTTTCATCTCTTCTTCACGAATACTAATTTGGTATGTTTACCTGTATAACTTATTCAGCTTGCTTACAATGAATTGAATATGCAAATTATGCAATCAATACAATCTTCTTTTCATTTTGGGGAATGGAAGGGAGATCTTGAGGTTTGAAATCCCAATCTACAAAACTTATCACATCATAAATTCTTACTCTGGATACAAATTCTGTTACAAGTCTGTCCGTCTCTCTCTCTCTCTCTCTCTGTCTCTATGTCGTTTTCATTAATCTCCCTCCCCTTCTTATACAAATTCCTTCCATACCATAGTACCTACCTGAAACAGTGACGTTCTGATTGGGAATCATGATTCCACTGTTCGGTCTCACACAATACCTTCTTGGTGTTGTTGTTTTGATGTTAAAGGAGATAATTTTGTCCGATGGATTTGAAAGTGTCAGCTCAGATGTGACAACATCTGTAAATGGACCTGAAATGAAAAAAAAAATAAAACAAAAAACAGATGAATACTAAAAATAAACTTGACTTGACTAAGAAGTTATCTTGGAGTCAGACTAAACGTAAACTTAAGATAATGATGGCCTCATGGTCTAACAACATGAACAAAGTCCAAACTGGTCAGAGCCAGAGGTCAACTAGTAGAGGCACTATGATGGGAGACTCTTTTCTATTTGAGAGTTGATACACTGTTGTCAGAGACTTTTGTCAAAATATTTGGTAGCATATTTGGGAGCCCCGGAGCCTTATTTGGGATACCAGCATCACTACCAGTTTCCTTTCTTTACATTTATTACAAAGAGATTACCTTGGCTTAAATTGAAAATGTGATAAGTAGATTCCTCATGACAAATTACCCCTTTTTATCTTCTATTTTAAAAACTCATTGTCTACATTTGTTTTCATAACACTTTTCTCTTTCGTTTGAAGATCCATACATAAAAACCCCGGGGCTCCTGACCTCAGTGCAGAGAGGACAAGGTCTGGCTTGAAAAAATGGAACATATTTGTGAATGTTCTTTCTTGTTTCCTTTTGTAATCTTAATCTCAAATATGGATCATGATGTCAGTCTCTCAGTCTCAAGTAGGGAAACAGTCTCCCAATGCGGTCATTGAAAGTATCGCTAAATGTTAGATGCTAAAATCACCAACACTTCCAGCCAGGCCTTTCCAGCACTTCAGGGTTTGTTCATTCTTTTTGCAATTCAGCATTACATTGACAATGATAAATCAGTGTTATTTTTGTATACCAATTTTTTTATACACAAAATTCTGGCCTGGATCAACATTACAAACTCCTGTCTGAGGTCAACATTTTTGTGATGTGAACCGCATGTCAGTTCATGCCAACAGGATTCATGTACTGCCAAGTCTGTTTCATGTCCATGACCATGATATTGGTATAGGTAGGCGCATGCTAAGTAAGGCTTGGCCTAGACCAAAAGCTTCAGTCTCTCAATATCGTTGGTTGTTTTACTGAGACTACGTCTGGCTCCACTAGACCTCCGATTATAGAGACTGAAGTTCGTCCTATGGGGACTGTACGGAACAAATGGTTCGGTTCGGTCGAACCGCGATTAATGAGATATGAAACAAGATTTTCACTCTTTACATCATCATAAATGTTGCAATATTACAATAATTAGAATCTATATTAGAAAAAATAAAAAATAACGTATATATAGCTTATTTGACGTACGATAGCTTGCTCATTTAGATCCTAAATTAATGATTAATCCGAGAAAGTCTCCTAGTCAAAATGATTCGTTGTCAGCCATCTTGGTTTTAGTTGATGAATATTCATTTTTTCTTTGCAAACGTTCAATAGCTACCGTAGCTACGTACAAGTTAGCCAGGCTTGACCCACGAAACGAGTGCTCTGATTGGCCATTGGCTATGTTTTGGTAGGTTGACCCGGAAATAAATCGGCCGCCGGGTCATATAGCTCAATGTTCGAGTGCTTGAACGTACTGTTTCATGATTCTGAGATACAAATTGGATAATTCATATAAGTAAGTTCGTAAATTTCGCATTTAATAATAAGTTATCAAATTTTGATAACTGTAATTAGGAGATAGGCAAACCAACCTAAATTACATCTGATTTTGAAATTAGAAAATTAGATCTAAATAAAGAAAATCGAGGAGAAAATGTCGTGAACGAAAATATGTTCATCGCTGGCTCTAGATAACCCCCAGGGTGCGAAATCTCTGCAGTACCGTCTGTATTGGGGAATGTCAACAAATGTCAGTTTTTTTTAAAGAAATGACCCAAATCAGACGTTTATTTTTGTATAGGCTTGGCCTTGCCCTTGGTGATAATTATTTTGATTAAACATATGAATTACTAAGTAAAAGACAAAGCCTGTAACCGTGAGGCTAGTTGAGTCTTAGACCGAACAATTTATGTCGCTTGCGTTCGTTAGCCTCTGTTTTGGGTAGGGTCAGCTCCTTTCTTTAATTCGAGTCTGTCCTGTTACATTAGTCAGGAAAGGGTAAAGAACTAAGAAGTCTATCTTTGATTGTCTGCATAAACGAGGATAGCCTTCGTAAATGCGGACAGACCTGTCCGTAAAAATAAAGATCGTCTTCATTTTCGCAGACGTTTCACATTTCCAATCTGTGCGTTGGCGATGCGAAAAAAGGATTCCACAATGATTTTCTTGATGCATTTTATTTTTACATTAACTTTGTCCAGAGACTGTCACGTTATGAGTGATAAATCCTTGGGAAGACGGACAACCCATCAAAGTAGACGGTGGACTGTTTTTTTTTTTCTCATGTGGATTCCGTTTTTGGGCAGTTCGGGAACCCGAAACCGGGAGAGCGCCTATGAAGAAAAACGTGCGGACGATCCCTATTTTTGAGGACGCAATGTGACCGTGTTTACGAAGATATCCTCGTTTATGCGGATGATCCTCATTCCCGGACAAAGCGCCCTTAGAACTCTACCGATCACAATCATATTCATTCCAATCGCTGAATCATCAAAGCCATGTCATTGTCATTGACGAAATAGTCTAGTGCTCTGCACTCCAGCAAAGCATAGAGAGTCAATGCTAACGCGCATTGACCTCTAGCACTGCATACATGCTGTGAGCCAGGTATTATTAGACCCATACACAAATATACACTACACAATATTACATAGACTGTACACAATCATGCCGATGCAGCTGTAAGCAAAGTTTGACACTAGACTAACAATTTGATTTTATTTTTATTTATTTTTTTGTTTACATCAGTAAGTTGAAAAAATGTATTTTACTGCTATTTAGGTGTCATCAATTGTCACTAAAGTACCGATTTTGAGTGAAATCAGTTGAGTTTTGTACAGTGGTGTTTGAAAAAGTTGAGAATCAAAACCACAGGTTTTACTACACAGCCAGCTAGGATAGTGATGCTCCTTTGTGTGGTGCTCTGCTGGTCAGAGAATGAGCAGATGAGCGGTTTCCTAGACTATTTCATGATAATGCCAAACATCTGAATATTTCTAACATAGAAACTAAAACCCAAGATAAATATCAAAGTCAGCTGCCACATCTTGAATGTAACGTTGATAATAACACACATGTCACATGATGATGATTAGATCAATGCAAATCAAATGAGAAAACAAATTGAAACGAGTAAAAAAAAAATCAAAACCAAATAAATTTTTACCTCGGAAACGGAGTTCCGTTGGTGGTTTGATTGCAAGGAGTTGATCTTGTGAGGCAGGTGCAGGAGCTAGGTTGGCTGGCCATTCAAAAACACAGTTTAGTTTGGTGTCCATTATAGCAGCAATATCTGATGCTTTCCACTACAAAGAAAAAAAATGGTCACAACAAATTGGATATCTTGATCTCTCAAATGAAATTATTCACAAACAATTAAAAAAAACAGATTTTTAAAAGTTCAGTGGAAAAAAATGAGAGAAGCTTGGAAAACAATGAGAGTAGCTTGAAAAGAAATCTTATATTTGCCAATTTTGAGACTGCAAAAATATTTATGTGATTTTCTTATTCATCATAATTCTAATGTATCATAATTTTTTCATACTTTTACTGAATGCTTTCCTTCATTTTGTTTTGCTGGTTGGGGGAGAACTTCCCATAATAAAAAAATGGCTTGAGTAAAGGATAATTTAACTTAATTGAATTGAATTTATTTATTCACCACCATTGAAAACATTGAAACAAAAGATAAATGTACAATGACAATGTCAATATAACATAAATGCATGACATGAATTATGAAAAATACATGTACATTATGACAAATATAAAGTAAACTTTGCTTCAAGAGTAAAACGGACTATTTACAATGAGTTTGTGATCGATGGTAAAATAGAGACAAAAATAGCACATGTGCTAGTCGAGTCTGACTCTCGTTATCTAAAGCCTAAAATAAAGTTAATTCAAAAATACATGATGGGTTTCCAAATCTTATAAATACGATTTGTGTATATTAAAATGAAACTAGTATATATACAACTATATAGTTACGAGGTTATGATTCGTGGTTTTCAATTAAAAGTAATTTTGTAAGTTTTTTTACGAAAAGAGGTTCTTGATCTCTCAATTCTTAGATCAGTAGGAAGCATATTCCAAAAATTACTTCCAACAAACGAAACAGAAAACTTTCCTTGTTCTGTTTTGAATAAAGGAAGACGTAATTTTCGACCCGTTTTTTGTCTTGTGGAATATTCATGTTGTATCATACTGCAATAATTTTTTAAGGAATGAGGTAATCGTTCATTTATCAAATCAAAAACAAAAGTACATATAGATAATTTATGCAATTTAAAAACATTCAACAATTTGAGATCATGAAACAGTGCATTAGTATGAGAACGATGTGGCTTGAAAGTTATAGCAAGTACAGCCATCTTTTGAGTATAAAACATACAATTCAAGTGTGATTTATAAGTACTACCCCAAACCTCGATGCCATATGTAATATGTGGCTGTATCAGAGCTTTATACAACAGTATCAATATACGTTTAGGGACAAAGTGCCGTAATTTAAAGAGGATACCGACCTTTCTCCGTATACAGTCATTAACAGATTTTATATGTGAATTCCATGTTAAATGTCTGTCAATGGTAATGCCAACAAATGTCGCTTCCTCCACTTCTCTTAATTCCGCCCCATATATTTTTAATCTCCCTTTAAGCACAGCCTTTCTTCTACAACTACTGAAGAACATGAAATTGGTTTTTGACGCATTGATAGTAAGCTTATTTGCAGTGCACCAATTCTGTATTAATTTTAAATTTTCATTTACTTCACACTCATCTATTTGATCTAAACCTTTGGGAATAGTATGAAAAATATTAGAATCATCTGCAAATAGTCTGAAATTGAAATGATTTGTCACAGTTGGCAAACCGTTTATATAGATTAAAAACAGAGTTGGTCATAAGGAAGAACCTTGTGGTACACCGCATTTGATATATCTACTTTCTGATGATGACTCTTTGTATTTCACAAACTGCATTATGTCACTAAGATAGCTTTCGAGCCATTTCAGTGCATGTCCTCGGATGCCATAATGGGATAGCTTTTTAAATAATATGTTGTGGTTTATTGTGTCAAAAGCCTTTTGAAAGTGAAGAAACACACCAAGCGTACACATCCTTCGTCTATACTTTTCAATACCGTATTCATACGATGAATTAATGATAATTTAGTACTATACTTTTTCCTAAATCCCTACTGATGGTAATATAAAATGTCATGCGTTTCTAGAAAACTGGTCAATCGATTTTTGTCTAGTACTTTACCCAAAATTGGTAAGACATAAATGGGTCTATAATTCCCTATTTCATGTTTATTGCCTTTCTTAAACAGTGGACTGACTTTAGCAATTTTCATTTGATCAGGGAAATTTCCTGTTTCCAATGAAAGATTGAAGATATGTCTTAATGGTTCAGCCAAAATAGATGCACCATCCTTAATCAGGCGTACTGGAATGTTGTCGTAACCACAAGCTTTCTTCTCGTCTAGAGCCAACATGTGGTCATGAACTTTCTTCATTGTGACCGGTTTCCAAAAAAAGGGATTGCTCAACACTATTATTCAAATAATCTTCAAATAATGTGGGTACATTTGGTATTGCTGATGCTAGATTTGGACCAATGTTTACAAAGAAATCATTAAATTAATTGGCAATTTCAGATTCAGTTGTTAGAACTTTATCATATCCATTAATACGCCTTATAAGTTTGTCTACCTTAGTACCTTTGTTACCTTTATTTCTCCCAGATAGTAATTCATTGATAATGTTCTACGTTTTACTAGTGTTATTGCTGTTCTCAACTAGCAAAACCACTGTAATAATTTTTCTTGGCATTGCAAAGAACAGTCGTTAATACATTTCTGTAGTTCCGAAATAATTTGTACATCACTTACATCAAAATTAGATTTACTTACTTTTAAAAACAATTTATATTTTTTTCGAACAGACTTCATTATTGATTTGGTTATCCAAGGTTTTTTTTTATAAGCGCGTCCTTTGCAGCTTCTTTTCTCTTTGATTGGTGCGTGTTTTATTACAAACATTATTAAACAAATATTAGGACAAATGGAATATGCCATCCCTCGTTCAGAGGCGACCTTGCGATCTACATCATTGTTGACCACAAATGGGCGCTGTGGTGATGGGGTTTTTGCCTGGCCCTGAGCGGATCCTCGGAGAAACATTCCAGGCATATTATCCTTCTTCGCCTTTCCCTTACTTCCACCTGCTTCCACGACCAGGCATGTTGATAACAGCAAAAGGTGGATTTTCACTTCAGGAAAATAAAGGGATGGGACTGAAATATGTCCACCGCTACATAAGTCCAGATTTGGATGTGAATTCTAGCTTCAAATTTTCAGTTTCCAGTCATCTGTTGATCTGTTAACTCTCTCTAAGTAGTGCCTTAACACTAGACAAAGGCCTCACATATCCATACATGGATCAAACAGTGACAGTTAGTGTTAAATCCAGTATTTTACAGGACACAAAATAACACATCTTCTCCAGTTAAGCATCTAGTGTGATAGATGAACACGATAATAATATCAATAATAATAATAATAATAATAATAATAATAATAAGAATAATAATGATAACTAGATTTGTAATACTTGTTTGGAACAAGTATAGGTGGGCTGGTCCAACTAAAATTTGAGACAAAATGAAGCGCACATTTGAGATAGCTAATTGTCTCAGCTACATCATACCCAAAGTTCAGCGTAAACGAAGCTAAAACGACGGAGATATTGCTCGCGAAAGACGGGAATGTAGAATCCAGTTTTGAGAAAAAGTCATGTTCCATAGAGAATACACGCAATAAGTGAAAAATTGGCATGCCTCCTTTAATCGCAAAAATACACCATGATTCCTTTGTCAAAAAGAAAAATTTTGTGTTCTGCATTTGTATTGAATTGTCTCAGCTAGAACATATCGAAATTTGAAAGGAACTTGATCAATATTTACAGAGATACAATCAATTTTCCATAAATATGCTGACGTCATAATATGCAAATTGGAATTTTGAGTTCGGAGGCCATTTTGATGACGTCATGAGTTAATTGAGGGTCAAATGAGACATGAAATCATATCTCCGATTCATACTCTATCAAAATATGAAAAAAATTGGGGTCACCTTGCATCCTAAAGAGCTACAATGGATTTTGCATAGGCATGTTTTTGCCCATATATGCTATGTATTACAAGAGCTCGCGCGCACGGAAATTGTTGTTAAATGGTCGATCAATCCGTTATTAATAGTCATAAAGAGACAAACATGGTATCAATTTGTTTATAAATATATGTGAAATATTATGAAAGAAAAAAAAAGGCAATTCTATTTTGTGTTATAGTTTTACGCGCAAAAAACGCGCACGCATGCGTGTGTGCGCGATTTTTTATAAAATGCTTAGAATGGCCTAAAACGTATGCAAAAATGATTTTGAGGAGATTTTGAGCATTTAAACATTTTGCGCGCGCATTGACGCGCGGACGTACGCGGACGCGCGCGTTATTTGACCTGTAATTGACCAGACGGATATTGACCTTAATCATGATAAATATGAATGAGAAACAACCTTTGGTTATGAAGATATGATCATGTGTTGATTTTCGCAAAATTTTACAAAATGGCGCCTAGATGACGTCATCGGTGAAGGTCAATGTTGAAAACGTTATTGTGCTTTGTACATATGCCAATACTTATGTGTGCCAAATTTCAAGGCATTTGATTGAGCCATTTCCAAGTTATCTAGCCAGCAAAAAAGTGGTTAGAAATAAGAAAAAATATATAATAAATAAATAAAGGCAATTCTAACGAAATTATAAGGTGGTCTGTACGATATACAGCCCACCTGATAATAAATAAATACATAAAGGCAATTCTAACGAAATTATAAGGTGGTCTGGACGTTATACAGCCCACCTGACTAGATAGCGGTCATATGTGGGTTCGTTGTGATTTAAAATCCCGTTTCCCCCTATTTCCTCAGAATATTCCAGAGTTACAACGCACAGGGCTTATAAAGATCATGGCCTTCTAATTGTTTTATGAGGTCATGGGTGTGTGCGGAAGTGTGCGAATCAGTAATAATATATTTCATATCACCAAAATCGTCTGCTTTTCAACTTTGCTGCTCCCCCTTGGGGATGTTTTTATTTAAGACACACTCTTACAGAGCACACCATCCAAACAAAACCCAAGAGAGGGAAACTGCTCCTTTGTCAATGACCGAAAATGCTTTAACGCAGTCGTTATTGTTAAAACAGCTGAATATTCTCATTAAGATGCACATAATCA